CTATTTCCCTTCAGAGCACAGAGGAGAAGAGTTTAATGTTGGTAAGGAGCTCTGTCATCCTCAATATGGGTTTCCAATATTTCTCTAGTTATCATTATTGTTTTTAAAGAAAGATGAGGGAATAGAGTCCAAGTAAAATGTCCGTAAGGTGTTTTGTTTTGTTTTTTTTGTTTATTTTCAGTAGTTGCAATACCTCCACCCTGCTTAAGTGTCAGTTGTTCGAATTTGGTCACATAACAAGGGAAGGTGGGAAACAGTTTATGGTGGGCAGTAAATGTTCCTAGTAAAACTCAGGAAGAAAATGAATATTGAGGGAGAGTCATCAGTCTCTACCATAGATGTCTTCTATGAAAGAATCAGAAAAGCTACAATTCAGTAGTGGTATTGGCTTATAATTCGTTGTTGTTGTTGTTGTTATGTGCCGTTGAGTCGGCCCCGACTCATAGCGACCCCTCCTTGGGTTTCCGAGGCAGTATCACTACGGAAGTAGGATTGCCCAACCTTCCTTCCGAGGAGTGGCTGGTGGGTTTGAACTGCCAGCCGTCTGGTTAGCAGGCAAGTGTCTTAGCCACTATGCTACCAGAGCTCCCTATAATTCGTAGGATGAGTGTAATTTTTAAACATCTGTGAAGTAGAGGGTAGGGAATTTTAGGCTGAAAGACAATATGAGTAAAGAAGTTGATAAGACAAATATGTATGACTTTTTTGGAAAGTGGCTAGTAGTCCAACAGGCAGGAAGTCAGGGAGTGGATAAAAAATTGTTAAATCCATTCCTGGAAAGCTATTTCTAAGCGCAAAGTGGAGGATCTTGAAGTCCATGCTTAAAAGTGTGGATATTTTGTATACGTTCACTGGACATGATTGATGTTTTTATTTGTTTTTAACAGAGCCATGATATTATAGAATTATTCTATATGAAAATTAATCAGGAAGTAGTAGAGCTTTTTTAATTTGAGATAAAATGCAGAAAGGTCAGTTAGGAGACTGTGGTTCTAGGATATAACAACCTGAAAAAGCATAATGCCAATCAAAATGAAAGGGGATGGGGAGGGCAGGGAATGCAAGACACATTCTGCAGGTAGAATGATGCTACTTGAAAACTCTTTGAAGGTTAGGAGTGTGGAGGGAAAAGGAATGTAAAGAACTGAAGTTGATTCTAAAGTTAAAAACTAAGTGAGCTTAGGGCTAGTGGAAGGACCAATGCAGTTGTTAAGAGACTTTGCTGGATGATACAATTAACAATGATTTCCAGTTTTCAGGTACCATCATCTAGTTGGTTCCAATTAATGGCAACTCCATGTATGTCAGGAAAAGAACTGAACCTCATCAGGTTTCCATGGCTGATTTTTCAGAAGCTTCAGACCTTTTTTCCAAGATGTCTCTGGGTGGACTCTAACTGCCAACCTTTTAGTTAGTAGCCTCGTGTTTTAACCTTTGGCACTACCTGAGAACTCTTTTGGGATGGCAGAAAGAGAATGATTAGGAGGAAAGATTTTGAGTTAAGATTGCGTATGTTGTTGTTGTTGTTATGTACTGTCGAGTCGGACCCAACTCATAGTGACCCCTCCTTGGGTTTCCGAAGCAGTATCACTACGGAAGTAGATTGCCCCATCTTCCTTCCGAGGAGTGGCTGGTGGGTTTGAACCACCAGCCTTCTGGTTAGCAGTCAAGTGCCTTAGACACTATGCTACCAGAGCTCCCAAGATTGCGTATATTAATACTAAAAGTCAATTGCCAGTCATTGGGAATTTATTTCAGGTCAAGAAAGTAAATAGGGTCGAATATGTAGATTTGGAGGAGACTGAATTTGTTTTTGATATGCAGGAAAATATTAATTTGGATGCCAATAGAATTCTAAAAGGTTAATCTGAAGGAGATAGAATGAAGGGACAGATGTTTTAGTTAAAAGTCTATTGGAAAGGAGCTCTTGTGGCATAGTGTCTAAGGCATTTGACTACTACCTAGGAGGCTGTCACTCCATGGAAGGAGGACTGGGCAATCTGCTTTCGAAAAGACTTACCACCTCAGAAACCCAAGGAGGGGTCACTATGAGTTGACCATTGGTTGTCCAAACGGATGTTGCATTGCACATGTCTGTATACTTTGAGATGGAAGGCAGAATCCTGCATGTTTATACTTCTGCTCTTTCCAACTGCTACCATCACATCTCTCTGTTCTTGTTTCATGGAGTCTTTGAAGCACCTCTGTAAAACTTAATGGCTCCGTGGAACTTTGTATGAAAACTAGTAATACAATCATTCAAATTATATAATTTTCATGATTGGTAGTTCTGTTTCAAGGACTTGTCATTTGCCAAAACTAAATGCAGCTCTTAGATATCAACTTTATGTTTATAGCTCCTTAGCTATAAACACAGGAGCTCTGGTAGCATAGTGCCTAAGGCACTTGACTGCAAACCAGAAGGCTGGCAGTTCAAACCCACTGGCCACTCCTGGAAAGGAAGGTTGGGCAATCCTACTTCCATAGTGATAACTGTCTTGGAAACCCAAGGAGAGGTCGCAGGGCGAATCAAGGGCACATAACAGCAACAGCTATAAACACGCACACACACACATAGCTCCAATTGCTACATACCTACTATGTTTCTACACTTTTGAGAGCAGAAAAAGATCAAGAAATCAAAATGGAGTTTGAATAACTATAGGTGAAGTCACAACATTTATGTCCATTTGGGCAATGTGTGACCGTGTATATGTCCATGGCCCCATAAGTATTTGTTTTGTTTTTAAAAGGAAAGTAGCTCTCCTTTTGTTGACTGTTTTTCTCTTATAGTTTAAGAAACTCCAAACACAAACTCTTGCAGCCCTGGACCATGGGTAGGATACCGGCCGATGAGGCAGAGAACATACCTCTGGGTATGGGCTCTCCAGCTTTGTCTGCAGCCAGGACAGCAGTGGGGTCTTCAGGGCTGGGGTACTCTTGCTGCTCTGTTCAGTACAACAGAGGCTTGCTTGGCTTGCTCCTCTCCTTCCTCACTTGTTTCCTTTTGTTTACGTCCTACCACCACCTTCTCAGCTGTCACCACTGCCACCACCTATTTCTCCCAACTTTACCAGCAGCTCCAATAGCAGCAGCAGCAGTGGCCACAGTGGCAATGAGGATGACCAGAAGCAGACTACCATAAAGTTTTAATATGGTGTTTGCACAACACCCAAATCACGTCTTATTCCACAGGACATAGCATAGATATTAAGCAACTCATTCCTGTGTTTATTTAACAACATTGTTGTGACAAACTGTTGAGTAATTACTGTGTGATGGCATATTAACTCATACGATCCTTACAACACTCTTATGAGTGAAATCTTACTATATACATATAGTTACAACTTTCAGATAAGAGAACTGCATGGAGAGATTACCAATATATAACTTGTCCAAGAGCACAGAGCTATGAGTGTCTGGCTGCAGACCAGTAGAAAAGATTGCTTCAAGATAGCAATGAAATGTTATGAATGGTGTAGATAGTTAATTACAATTGGTAACTGTTAATATTTTTTAAAGAGTGAATTCTTGTATAAAAACTGATGACAAAATTTCTGAGATTTGGAGATATATTTTTAAAATGTAGATTAACCATTTTCACTAGGATAAAAATAATAAGGGAATTTAAATAAATATAAAATGTCTACAACCAAAACTATTCCTATTTAATTCAGACACAGCAAATCAGATCAGAATATTTAATTACTATCCAATCAACCTTTCTGTTCAGTGTGTCAGTTTAACTTAGAGAACCAAACAAAACACTTCTTTGTTTGTCAAGGATAGGCTTTTAAAATAGGGGTATGCTAAAATTACATTAGAAAGATGAAAATGGTTTGTTTGACCTTCTGAATTTTAATATGTCAGAAAGATTATTGTGAAGAAAATTGGGCTTTCTGAAGTGACAGATACATTATTCAAATAACTTTGATTAAATGTAAGATTTTTCTTTTTAATGCTTTCATAAAGGGCACATACACTAATTTAGTTGATAAGAGTGGCTTTATAATTGAGATACTAGGGAAAATATATATTTTAGTTCAATAATTAGACTAAATATTTTTAATAATGAGTGTTATATTTTTGGATACTTCCATTAATTAATAAATATATCCAGATTATAATTTGCATAAATTAGGCTATATGTATAGTGGACTATTAGAAAAATCCTCTGCTTGAATTTTTAGAGATGATAATAATATTTCTACTAATATGTACTCCTGGACTCAAAATTAGATTTTATTTTCTTTACTTAAAACAGTGCTTCAAATTAACTATTGATCCAAACAAAATAAAAACTAGAATAAAAAACCTCTGTATATGTTTCTGCTACAAACACTGCTTTGATATCATGCATACTGGTGTGTCCTCTATAACCTATGATATCAGAAGCATATGTTAGAATGCAATACATTCTGATTTATCTTTTATTTAGAGTTAAGTTTATTACACATAAGGGTTTAAACCAATAGTACTGGTTACTTAGGTAAACAGTTAACTGTTGATTATTTTAATATTTGATGTTATGTATTATATCATACCAAATTCTTAAGACTATTTGGTATTTTTTTCCCTATCTGTAAGGACTTTGCAAAGTTTTTAAAATGCTTATTTCAAAATGAAGTGTTTTTTCCTTAGAAATTTTCTAGTTTTTTAAAGGCTTTTTTTTTTTTTTAAATCTATACATGAAAATGTTTAGATCTTAAAGTATTCTTGGCTTACTGAGATACAGATTTTATATTTTCCTCTTACATGTAAACTGTAGTAAGGAAATGTCATTTATTATCTTGGTATGGGAATTAGCTGATAAGGATAGGAACTTTGAAAAACCTATCACTTGTTGTCATGCAAATGAAACCGTACTATAAAAATGCCTATTTCTGTTTTCTATTTAATCTTACCTGTCTTTCTGTTTCTTTTGCAGCAAAAATGCTGGAATGAACTTCTTATCACTGCAATTTAAATATATTCTTTTCTTCTGTCAATTACCACAGGTTTAGTCCCTATGAGTGGTATAATCCACACCCTTGCAACCCTGACTCAGACGTGGTGGAAAACAATTTTACCTTGCTAAATAGTTTCTGGTTTGGAGTTGGAGCTCTCATGCAGCAAGGTATACGATTCAGCCTGCTATTTCCCTTGGGCACCATGTCCCACTCTTTGCTGGGGTACAGCTCTTGCTGGCATAAGTCACTTGCATGGGTGCCTCTGTGCATGTAACCATAATCCAGCTTCTCCATTTACCTAATGCATTTAGGCGTTCTCAAATCCCATCTAAGAGAGATTCTGAGAAAACAATTAGCTTTTGCCAATCCACAGTATATTCATCTAATTTTTTTTTTCTTAACCCAAAGTAGGTACATTATTTCATAGATAACCAAGCTAACCTTATCCATTAGCCAGTAGCTGCATTTAAAGTACTACTAAAATTACATCTCCTTGAGACAAGAATACAGTGTAAGTTCCTGGTTCCTGTCTCAGTTTGATGTAAAACGTTTCTTTCATATCAGTTCTTAATTATTAGATGTGTTTGTACTTATTGCATGATTAGTAAGATGATTGCATATAAATCTGTGAAATTAAAATATTTAATCCATTAGAGTTACCTTATTGAGTAAAATATTAATTGCATATAGTAGCATAAGAATATAAAATATTGCCTGTTCAGAAGTGCATGCAAAAACACCTTTTCATAATTATTTAAAATTTATAATATAAATGCTAAAAGTAAAGGTTATATTTTTTAGAAAATGACATAATACATGTAGTAATATGTATTAATGGTTTATTTGTATTCTTGCTGCTATGGTTTCTTTTAATAATAGTTAAATACATAAAGTTCAATAAATTAATATATTAGGTCTATTATTAAAAATATTTCCTTCAATGTTTTTATTAACCAAGATCTAGACTAATTTTATGCATTTTAAAATATAATATTTTTAAGTTTTATAATTAGCAAATAAAAGGCCCAAAATTTGAGCACCCTGGCTTTGAACGGATAAAGGAGAAAAAAAGTATTCTTTCATTAAAGCAACCATACTTACTTTAAGAGCTGAATTTTAGTTGCATATTTATTATCCACTTTAAAGAAATTCATTTATTCTTAAATTATAAAATGTTTATAAAACTATGTTTGTTGCTGTCACATATTTAATTTTATGCATAAAGCTATCCAATTACTGCTGTTTCATTTATAAACTATTTCCCATGGTGAAAATAAATAAATATGTGTCAAAGACAAACATGAATTCACCAATAAATCATATTTAAACCCATTTTGTGAATAAGACCTATTAAGTTGAAAGTTTTCCTTTTAAAATGAGTATATCTATATTTCTACCCTACAGAAATACTTTTATGGATATATGCATTTAAAACTTGAAAAGGCAGAGAACTGTTACATAAATAAATCAAAGTTTGTTGCATTGCTTTATAACTAACTCTAATCCTACATTACTTCTATTTAACTAAGTAAATAACAGCCTTGAATCAAATATACTTAAACTAGGGCCTGTGCTGTGCAGACAGGTGATTTAAGTGGAAGCCAGCCTCCCTGGTTTCAGTAGTAGGATTTTCCTTTTCGTACATTCCAGGTCCCACTGTTTCCCTCATTTGCCTGACTCTACATTTGGAAGACAATATTGGAGTTATTTCAAAATAGTAGAAGTGATAGAAGCCTTACTATGAGACACACAGCTCTTAGAACTAGCAGTGAGTAATAAACTCATGGAAGCACATTGCTAATCACCTGCTAATAACTAACTTTAATAGTCTGGAGTGTAGTATCCTCAGAGTAAAGGTTGTACCATAACAAAACATTCTTATTCTTGCTTCCACTTTGAAAAATAAGGTATTTTATTATTTATATTTCCTACACTATTATTTGGAGGGTTTTGAGAGTTTTCATATTTATAAAATTAGTTTGATATTAATAAAATTTACCAATTGAAAAATAAGATTATATCAGAAATTCCTGAAAATGATGATAAATAATCTGAGCAATATGAAATTTCAAATATAAGTTTCAAATATAAGTAATGAAAATTTTAAATATCAGTTTGCTTTATCATGTAATACTTTACTGCTGGTGGATACATGAAAGAGGAACCCATACCATTCTGGCTGATGTCCAACTCCCCAGGAATTAGTGGGATATAGTGCTGGACATGACGTTACCTTGAGTACATGACAGTCAGCCCCTAACCAGGCTCTGATTCATAAGCTTAGGAGGTACTTCTTTTAAGTCCTTGAGTAAGATATGAACTTGTGGTAATTGGGCCATTTTTGTCAAATGTCTCCAATGTTGTTTTCTTTCCCAGTCTTGTTTGACTGTATTGGTGGTGTTTTTTTTTTAAAAAAAAAAAAAAGTAGAATAGGGAGCAGAGCTGCTGAACATCTTGGGAATATTTTAGTGTTTTGGTGTCCAAGTGTGTGTCTGACAGGGCATAGGAGCAACTACATCAGAAAGGTACTTTTCTGCTTTTTTCCTTACAGAGTGGTAGGCAGAATCTGGAGCTGGAGTTGGCTGTCATGTCCAAGTCTGTCTGCTTTTTTTAAGATTGATTGTTTGTTTGAACTGCAAGGGTAAGATGAACTGCAGTATAAGATGGGCTGTTCTGATACAATAATCCAGTCAAGGTACCACTTCTTTTTAACGTCACCATGAGCAATTTGTCATACTTTTCATTTCACCTAAAGATGTGTTACCTTACTGGATCAGTTGTTATATTAAAGATATGATTGTATAACAAAGCGGGGAAAAGGAGTCCATCTTACTTCATTCCAGTATACTCAAGCTCTATTAATAACTGGGCAATTTGTAACATATGCATTTCTAAATTCAAAATTATTAAA